GCTCCGAGCTCTTTGCTACATATTTTGATCAAACACCATTCAATTTAAGAAAGATCCCGTACCAGCAAAACTAATCGGAAAACATGGCTTAGTGTCTTCCGTAAATTGAATGCTGTTTGATCAAAATATGTCGCAAAGAGCTCGGAGACGTCTCATCTTCTTCAAAAATGTTTGCTCTACACGACAGACGTATTTGTAAAGAATTTCTGGATCGAACTCCGGGACTTGGTTTTCTGAGATTTTGGTTTTCCAGAGACCCTGGTTTCAACAGTTTTGATAGAACCATTTTATACAGCAGCGCAGGTCGGAAATTCCTTCAGCTGTTCAAATCCTTTTTCAAATTTGTTCTAGCGATTATGGGCACAATTCTATCGTAATAAACAAAAAAAGTGGGACATATATGTCCCACCGGCCGTCAAAGGGTTAACAAAAGTGCGCAACCTAATGAGTAAGCAGAGATTATCACTTTCATCTCACTTTTCAGCTCTTTTGGCACTTCTGTCATGATTGAAATGCAGACAGCGCATAAACAGAGGCACTCTTTGACAAAACCAATCACTCCGTCACCGCCCTCCATTGTTAGCAAAACATCTTCACCCAACAAGATACAAGCCATAAAGTCAACGTTGCTAACATCAAACACTTCTGAAACACCATCTCCTACTTGCTCAAAAAGCAATGAGAATACACAACGAGCATCTTCGACAATTGTCGTTTCGCTTCATTCAGTACCACCAACAACTCCTCCTGCTCAGAGAACGCCGCATGATGAAAACAAAGAGAGTGTGCCGCTCATCTGGTTTGATACCAACATCGATTCAAATGACTCACGCCTTGACCATGTCAGACATATTCAGAATGAAAAAATGTTTGTTGTGACATCAGACATTTGTGCCATCCATCTTCTTCCTCATATTGAGACTCTATCTCAAATCGATTCCATTTTCATCTTTTGCATGAGCCAAGACACATACAAACAGCTATAAGACGAATACTCGGAAATAATCGGACTCTTCGCTTCACACGAAGAACTCATCGATTGGATCAAAGAGACTGCCAAGATGATTGAGAAACAAATGGAATCATTTAGCTTCTATACTCACCAGAAGTCGACTCGTGATTTATTCAAAGAATCAGCTTCGTTTCTCTAGTTTCAGCTGTTCAAAGCTCTCATCATGCAAATGCCACCTGATCATCATGGTAATTCAGAACAACAGATGATTCAGAAGTGTCTAGAATACTATATAAGTAACCGGAAAGAACTGAAAGTCATTCAGGACTTAAATGAGACCTACCAACGAGATGATGCCATTCGATGGTATACAAAACAGTCATTTGTTTATAAGCTCATCAACAAAGCTCTGCGAACCGAAGATATCGAACAGCTGTACCTGTTTCGATTCTTCGTCGTTGATGTCCATGTCTTGCACAAGAATATGAAAAAATGAAACGGCGAGAAAAGAATGTGCTCCGAGTATATCGTAGTGTCAATTTATCGAGTGAGAAATTTGAGAAGCTGAACGAGAATGAAGGTAAACTGATTTCGACAAATTGCTTTCTCTCAACCAGTCGTTGTCGTGAAGTAGTTTTACTGTTGCGGATGAGTTAGCAAAGCATCGGGATGAGGCTGGGGTTCTGTTTGAGACAGAGTGTGACTTGAGTGAGCTGTATGATGCTATTATGGTACCTGACATTGACCACTTCAGTAGTTTCGCTGATGAAGAGGAAGTGCTATTTTAATTTAGGTGCGACGTTCGAGATACGTTCTGTTCATCGAGGAAAGTCGAATTTTGTGTTGTAGAAATGATAGAGACGGGTACAGGAAGAGAGACTGCTCAGGACTATATTGCATTCAATAGAAAAGAGTTGGAAGAGAGGAGTGTTGTGGTGATGTCTGGTACACTTCTATGTGACGTGGGACAATATGACAAATCGCAGAAGTACTTTGAGACTGTGCTGTAAAATCCAGGAGTAGAGGATATTGCACACATTCAGTTTCGTCTTGGTCATGGTTATGACCTCAAAGGCGAATATGCTGAAGCACTGGAACTGTACGAGTGCGCGTATCAGATCATGATGAGCTCAAGGCAACCACATGTCAAAGAGTCAGCCAGTGTACTAAATAATATTGCCAATGTTTAGGATGTTAAAGCCGAGTATGATCGTGCTTTCGAATATTATGAAAGAAGTCTAAAGCTAAGAGAAAAATGTTTGCCAGCTGATCATCCACATATTGCTACCAGTCTGAATAATATTGCTAGTGCTTATTGTGCTAAAGGCGGATATGATCGTGCTTTCGAATGGCATGAGAGAAGTGTAAAGATAAGAGAAAAATATTTGCCAGCTAATCATCCACATATTGCTATCGCGCTGAATGATACTGTTCCAGTTTAGTGCAGAAAAGGCGAGTATGATCATGAGACTGGCAGGTGTTAACGTTCTAGATATTGATAGTGTTTACCTTGTGCCATCCTAATCATGTTAGAACGGAAAACTTTATTCCAAAAATTTATTTATTTTATACTATTGCGATGGCGGCATACATGTTGTGTAATCGACTGGCGGATGACTTTGTTGTGTTTTTTTGATTAGTCAATAGTTGTATATGTTAGCTTGTCCAGTCAGTTTTTTTTTTATGTTGGCTTTTAATTGATCTTTTTTAACGTCGCTAAAGAGTGGGCTTGTGTTTCTTTGATTCCAGTTCAAGTCACCATATTTGATACTAGCTGCTGGTACGTGTAACTTTATATAGAACACAGGAAAAGAAAGAGGAGAAAAGTCACTTTCATCTTTTGCTGTATATGATCAGGGAATGAAGGCTTTTCAGTTGTCCATAAAGCGTCGAATGAAAATGAAGTTGTTCGAGAACAGTTACTCCTCTTCTTCTTTTTGTATACTTTATCATCACCCTCTAAAATGTGTGATAATATTTCAGGTTTAGATTCTCAATTTTTCTTTTTTTGATACTTTGGATAAAGATGCTTTTAGAGCTTTGATACGTATTAATACATATCAAAATTTGATGGTTTTTCTCTAGAGAAGCGATCCTCGAGATTTTTACATATTCGGAATCAACGCGACGAGTTACGTTGTACGGCGCAAAGACCTAATCAGGGTACCAACACGTTTTGCACTCGGATTCTTCACTGTGGATTTTCACAGTATATTACACTATATTCAACAGTGAAAAAATTGAGAATCTAAAATTGAAATATTATCAGATATGCTAGAGGGTGATGACAAAGTATACGAAAGAAAGAAGAGGAGTAACTGTTATCGAACAATTTCATTTTCTGATGATGTACAGTACACTGAGGTGGCGCACTTTTGGCAGGAGAACCTAAATTAGAAGATACGCATGCTCATGACGAACAGAAAGAAGGAGAACCTAAATGCCCATGTCTTGCAGAAGGTGAAAATCTACACAAGTTCTTTACAGATTCTGCTTCTTGAAATTTCTTGATCAAGATCTTGATACAGAATTTTCAAGAACAGCAAGTTCAAATACATTAGCAAATCTGATCAAGATTTACTACGGATACGAGTCTGACATATCTTCATAATTCTATATCAAGATCTTGAAAAGATTTAGGAACTTTTCTGAACTCATTAATGTAATTACTAATTAGAAAAATTAGTTCCATATTAGGAGAAGGTAAGTGAGACAACGATAACTACAAGAATTTCACACATATCGATATTCTTTATGGTACTACATTATAGAGGACGTGATCTTGAATTCTATTAGTCTACTAGATGCACAAATAATAAATTATACTTGTTGTTCTCCCTATCACCGTTTTTGTTTTGCAGTGCCCATCATATATATATATATATAACATGTTATATATTTCTCAATACATATATATATAAATTGAGAAATTTTCAAGTTCGTTACGGATGTAACGTTCGACTGAATAGCTTTGGTATTGTCTGAATGGTACAGTAAGAGCTGTGAATCGTACTGTTGGTACAGTACAGTAATGCAGAGTGCACTACAGAATACAGTAGATGGAAATAAAAATAAATGAAAATAATACATAACCAACCCAAAAACCGATTCAAGATTTATAAAGATACCGAAAATCTTTCAAGACTCTGCTAATGGACTAATAACGAATTAATTGCTTCTTAGAAGCAATTACATATCTTGATCAAGTTTTTTCAAGACAGATTGTGTAACAAAACTTGTCGACAATCTTGAACTGTAAGATGATCTCAGAATCTTGTCAGATATCGACAAATAATGCATAAGATCTTGAAAGAACTGAACAAAAACTTAAGAAATCTTTTAAGTTTTTATCAAGATCTGCAGTCAAGATTTTTTATTTGGAAGAATGATCTTCTTAACCATCCTCCTCCGTCTTTTAAACTCTATTATCAAGGATAGAACATACACAGCCGTCTTTCTGTTTCAATTATTTTTATTAATTTTAACTGTTATCTTAATTATAGCTGGTTTTACGTTCAAAATTAATTTCAAAACAAATGAATGTAATGGATGAACAAAGTGAAAAGTATTATAATTTACCTTCTGATGAACAAAAATTATTAGTTAAATCATATAAAAATTTAAAATGTTATGGTAAATACAGTCGTAATGATTATTTAGAAATTTTCCAGAAAAAAGAAATTGAAGAATGTTAAGTCTAGTTGAAGATTTACCGACACAAGAATGGAGTGACAAACGTGATGAAAAATTTAAAATCTTTTTTTATAATACATTTAATATTGACCTTTGTATTCTAATGATAATTTTATCTATTGCTATACTAATGCCACTCATCTAACGAGGGAAGGTCCCCAAGTGATTAAAAGCTTTAGAGCCCATGTTTTGCCCAGTGGTAGGGGACCCATAGACTAGAACAAACTCCAAAGGGTTTGTGCGGAGAGGCCTCCAGAGACCAGGTTTCTGGAAAACCAGTTTTTCAGAACCTGTAAAAAATAACCAAAACCTTTCTTAATGAGACATGATTGTAGTCCACAGATTTCTGCTTAAAACGAGACCTCTCCCAGCTCTACACGACCTTCCTTTGCAAAGTTATAGAATTTACAAGAAAAGCCCTAATGTTCATTGTCACCTCAAAGCTACAGAAATAAGAAGAAATGAATTTAGGGCTTTTCTTGTAAATTCTATAACTTTGCAAAGGAAGGTCGTGT